CTCCAGGCAGACGGTTCGCTGCCGCAGCGCCTCCCGCACGCTCATGTCCAGGTTGTTGTAGGTCTTCTGAGCTGCCAGGTGCTGGGGAAGAGGTGGCCTCACTCAGCACCCCAACGTGGTGTCACCCCAGCGGGGGATGCCAAGCCCTGGGGACGCACGGGGCCGATCCGTGCTGGCACGTGCGTGTCATGGGGTGGGCTTGCACAGGCACAGGCAGGTGTGAGCACCCCACCGGTGACATATGAGGGGCCACACTCGTGCCTGGGCGTGCCAGCATGCAGGGTACTCACAATGACGTCGAAACGGGAGTAGAGACCGACTACTTGCCCTGCGAGGAGAGACAGCACAGAAGCTGGTGAGGGGACCTTGGGGGCTACCCGCCATGCTCTCCCTGCACCCCGAGGGGCAGCCTAAGGGCCAGGAGGAAGTTTTTGAGTGGGATTGAGGCTGGAGCCACGGGCAGAGGGAGATGGGGGAGGGTCGCTGGTGCCCTCCCCAGGTACCGGCATTGTTGATGACAGGCAGGGCAGAGACACGGCGGTCCACGAAGATCTCCAGGGCAGTGTAGATGGGAGCAGTCTCGGGCACAACAGCCACGTCACGAAAGGTGCCGATACACAGTTCCTGCACTGTTTTCTTCAGGAAGCGCGGCTTGGGGATGGTAGAGCCCTGCGGCAGGGCAGGGCAGTGCAGGGCTGGCACCCACACGTGCCCCAACACTCTTACTTGTGCCCTTAAGCACCCACCGTGTGTGCACACTCAGCCCTGACACTCACAAAGATGTGGAGGAACTTGAGGATGCGCTTGTGGGTCAGGATGTGCAGGACATTGCCTGAGACGGGCTCGATGTCAGGCAGGCGGTGGATCTTGTGCTTGATCAGGGAGTAGACAGCATCGAAGAGGCTACGGGTGATGAGGACACCGTGAGGGCTGCATCCTGGGCAACCCCCTGTGGGGTGTGCTCTCCTGAGGTGGGCAGATGCTCACCTGTTGCTCGGGGAGATGTAGACCAACGGCTTGAAGGACCCCTGCAGGTACACCTCTGCCAAGGGAGAGAGGTAGGAGAGTGGGTGCTGCAGCACCTTCATGCAGTCCCCATCACCATGCCCTGCACAACATCCCCAGCCCAGCCACCTTCATTGCCCCGCCACGTTTACCTCTCCAGGTCTCAATCTTGTGCTCCTCCACCTCGTAGATCTGAACCTGAGAGAAGAGAGATGTCCTGGTCATGCTGGCCCCATGGTGGGGTTGAGGGGCCTCTGGAGCACTGCCTTCTTCCCCATGCATCTCACCCCACCACCCTAAGCAACGGGATCACATCTCGGGTGTTGGCCAGAGGGGATGAAGCAGACCCTGGACTGGCCCAGAGCATCCCCTGGTCACGGTCTAGTGATGACAAGGGAACGGGGGGAGGGAAGAGGAGACTAGGAGTTGTGGGGACAACCTCTGCCAGCCCCATGCCTGCCCTGACCCGCCATGCCCTCTGTGCCACACTCACCAGGGGCGAGCGGTAGTAGCGATGGAGAATGTTGATGAAGTCGGTGATGGTGAGCATCCCTGCAGAGACACACGGGGCTGGCAGCCCCGGCCGCGCCGGTCCCGCCCAGGGCAGCTAAGCAGCGCTGCCGCACTCACCCACAAACCTCTGTGTCTTGCTGTCCCACAGCGGGGCGGCACGCACCCCGTTGGCCACCAGCGCCACGAAGGCTTTCTTGATCTGCCAGTGGAGCGCGGAGATGATCAGGGGGGTCTCCGAGCCTGCTCTCCCCACCTGTTCCCACCCATTCCCAGCTTTGTCACCTCCAGAGAGATGTCGAAGACAACAAGCTTGCAGCTGGTGGGGACGGCATCGTAGCAGCAGTGGCTCCTCAGGAAGTGCATGTAGACCTCGGAGTCTGGGCTTTGAAATTCACTTTCCGGACCCAGCCCCAGCACCTCGTTGCCCAGCGTGAAGGTGATGGGTCTTGGGCTCCTCTGCCTGTCATCTTCTTCCTCCTCTTCCTCTTCCCTGGAGCACAGGGCCTCCAGGCACCCTGCGGGTAAACTCATCCCAGCCCTGGCCAGTGAGCTGACCCACTGGGTCTCAGCGCCCTCCTGCCTAGGGGGGAGCAGGGGTATGCTGCGGGAGGGGTTGCTCCCCACAAACCCCCCCGTTCCCCACTCCACAGAGGCAGCACACAGCACTGCAGCTCTTCAGTTTAGGGGGGGAGCTGGGAGCTGTTGGGAAGGAGCTGAGGAGTGAGGTGGGCAGAAAACCGACACATTCATTGCATTAGTGAGCCAGCCACCCCTCCTACATCCCCCCAGGCACTGCCTTCTACCCACCTTCCTCCTCAGGGCGGGCAGTGGCATCCAGCAGCGCCTCCTGAGGGGGCACATAGTGAGGGGGAGTCAGCAGGAGCCAGCCCAGCCTCTCCCTGACCAGTGGCTGG